GGGGACCCCTAGACAGTCGCCCATCGTAAGGTCCACTTCGGTTGCAAAACGCACCTCCCCATCGAAAATCCTGCCTACGGCCCTGGTCCTATAGTCTAGGCCTATAATATAGTAGAGCGCCAGGGCCCCAGGCGCGGGCGGCCCCGATATTGTACTTTAAAAAAAATACAATATAAACTATAATACCGTAGTCCAAGACCTTGTTGCAAATCCCAACCCACATTGCATATAATGCCTAGCATAGGGCTCGTGATCGCGGTACGCTGACCATTAAAAATTAGCATCCTCTTTTTGAAATGTAAGGAAATAGATAGTGCTTTCCTTTGTTGGATCGATTGTAACTCCTGATTGTAGCAACCCCAAAACGAATGGCACTTCAGAAATACAGTACAGTATACCAATTATTCTCTCAAACTTTATATCCTATCGTGTTGTTTGTGTTTTAAGTTATTTATTTTTTTTAAGCGTACAGATTTGGAATATTTTAAAATCCTTAAGTTAAATTATTTAAAATTTTCTTTTTATTTTCAATGAAAAATAAATGCGGTCGTTAATATCGATCTTGGTACAAAACCTGTAATCATATAACTACTTATAGAGAATTTTCTACCGTATATTATAGGCCTAGACTAGGACCAGGCCTCCTACTATAGTATAGAGGCCTAGTCCAAGACCTTGTTGCAAATCCCAACCCACATTGGCTATAATGCCTAGCATAGGGCTCGTGATCGCGGTACCCTGACCATTAAAAATTAGCAGACGCACTGGGAAGCGTTGTTCACGGCATTGGACTGCAGCGAAAAATGATTCCCCCATCATTAATGGAACAGGCCCACGTCACGCTTGGCTGACTAGTTTTGATTTACATTTTGTGTGTCTGTGCCATAAGCAGCAAAAGTCCATTTCTAGTGTTGTTGTCAAATGCATTTTAAACCAGCCTGGTTTTTGATTTACGTTTTAGAATAGAATTTGGAGAGCGCGTTTGATCAAGTTACACCTACGTTTTGAATTTGAATTACATTTTAAAGAAATTAGAACTACATTTTGGAAAATTTGAACTACGTTTTCAAAAATTAGACCTTCATTTTGGGAAACTAGATCTACATTTTGAGAAATTTACGCCTACGTTTTGATAAATCAGACATTGAATTTTGCAATTACATTTTGATTTTAACATGGACTTTTGCAGCGTATGGCACCCCATAGTATTCCACTATTTGCATTCACACCTGGCTGTGTATATATATTGCCTTGGTTTGGGTCTGTAATCATTAGTGGTCGTGGGACTAGTTTGGGCCCTACCTAAGCTGGTCGAACGTTTTGTTTGGGTCTGTACCCTAGCTGCACTGATGAGGCCTGGAAGGCCGAAACGGATCCGTCTGCAGATATTGGGATTCCTTCCAGTGGATGCTTAGTTTATTTTGTCATTCTGATCGGATTTTCTCTACTGTTCCGTTTTAATTTTAAAT